ATTCCTTCCTAAATGTAGTATTTCATATCGATGTATTCCGTCTTTGATATGATTTAAATCAAATTCCTCGTCATTATAAATATCACGAATACACATCAAATAGTTTTCTGGTTGACATTTTCTAATCTCGACTACGCGTAATGTAGGCTTTACGCATGCGCGAGTTGAAAGAAATGTTTAATAAAGTAAACAAATAAATATAAACCTTTTTTTTTTTGTAAATTTTGATACCCTTTAGATCATAATTGCTCTTTGTTTCATAAATTACAGTTTCATTATTTTTAATTTTATAATTTCTGCATGCCATCTTACCAGATTTAAATTGATGATCCATAATCCGGAATCGCCGAAGTCCCGATTAAAGACGTTTGGCTGTTATTTTCATTTACGTATTCTAAATTATTTATTTTTATATTTTTAAATAGCATTTTAGTGTTGCCATCTAATAGCTAAATAACAAAAAGTGGATATTGTATAGTAGATTATTACCAAAACTGCTATACAATTCTGGTAGCTTGCTCATAATGGATTAAACTAGTATAATGACCATGTTATTTACATAATATCAAATAACAGATAATGTCAAAATGGCATATGATCCTGCTTTTCGTTCAGTAGAAAATAAGTTAGATGCATATCACGGTACTATAGTAATGAGATATTATTGATAAAAAGGAATTACAAAACTTGGCCTAGTTATCTCAGAAGCAAAGGTTAATAGTAGAATGACTTTCTTCATCCTTTTTTTAAGCTATTGGAAAATTATATAATGTTTTTTCTAAGTAACTAAAAAGTTAGATCATTTGATAAGTCAAATACAGTCAAAAGTCTTTATAATCCGGACCTCAAAGCTACGAACTTTCTGCGCATGCGTAAACGCATAGTGCGATTGCGCATGCACAGAAATGCGCATAATAACTTTACGCATGCACGTTTAATGTATAACGAACAGTATAAGCTAAGCTAAAATTATCTATTTCAGTTAATGTTGCAGATTGCGTTGTTCCTTAATCTTCTAATTGGGTCCGGCTTATTATTTTTTGCAGACTGTTAGAGCAATTTTATAAAAGTAAGCTTGAACTTTAGATTATGTCAAAAAGAATTTTTGATTCTGGAGCTGCCAAAGGATCTACAAAGCGAAACATGTTTTGATGTCCATCAAACAAAAAGTGGAATTGCTGCAAAAAAGGCAGAAAGGCATATGCTTTGTTTATCTAACTATTCCGAAATCTGTTTATCAATTTCACGCTGCTCTGGGGGGGGGCAGCAAATGAACTGGATGTTTATTTGTCAGCACTATCCTTATCTTCAGGGCAGATGTTTTTATTTTATTCGGCTTATAATTCCTTACTAAATGTAGTATTTCATCTCGACTCCGTTTTTGATATGATTTAAATCAAATTCCTCGTCATTATAAATATAAAGAATACACATCAAATAGTTTTCTGGTTGCAATTTTCTAATTTCGACTATGCGTAATGTATGCCTTACGCATGCGCGCGTTGAAAGAAATGTTTAATAAAGTAAACAAATAAATATTAAGCCTAATCCGGAATCGTCGGGACTTCGGCGATTCCGGATTATTGGTTTTTCCGTATTAAAGACTTTTGAGTGTATAATGATACCGTGCATTTTGATTTGGAGCCAAAATGTTTAAATTAATGTGAGTACTATAAGGTGGTATATTTGAGTAGCAATAGGTAGTTAATGAGAATTAATTTGTTTCAATTTATAAATTTAAATTATTACGACTATGCGTAATGTATGCTTTATGCGTGCGCGCGTTGAAAGAAATGTTTAATAAAGTAAACAAATATTAAGCTTTTTTTTTTTTTTTTTTGTAATTTTTGATACCCTTTAGATGATAATTTAACAACATTTAAAATGGTACAAATATTTTAAATGTTGGGAAATAGAAAAGTGCAGGTTGCCTGACCCATAATCTCTTACCAGATATACAAATTTATTCACACCAATATAAAAGAAATACAAGAATTTAAATGCTTGTAATGTATGAGGAATGTTTCTGAACAACTTGCACATACTGCACAGGCATGTCACAGTACAAAATGACATTATGTAGGTCATCTCCATTTTCCTTCACACATATTCCAAGTCTTTTACAGAAATTAGACATCACATCTTACAAGACTGGCATTAGAATTCAATCCTTTAGTTCCTGGATGGTATGTGGTAGGTAACACCTGAAGGTCTCAGATTTCAAATGATCACAAAGGAAGAAATCACATGCTGAAAGGTCAGGGGATCCTGGAGGCCAGAAATATCCCCGTTCTTGGAGATGAGATGACCAGGAAAGATGTTCTGTAGTGCGTTACTGGAAATCTGTAAGGTATGTCATGTGACTCTGTCTTTTTGGAAGAATGTGTTTGCAGTTACACTTGAAATACAGGGTGTCCGAAAAGTCTTTCCCTGATTACATAAATTGATAACGCAAACTAGAAGTAAGATACAAATATGAAACTGGCGTCTAATTGTTTACAAACTATCAAAGTTTTTTTCACACATCAGTAAACTTCCACATGAGCACCCTTGGTAGCACGTAGCACATCTAGGCTATATTCAACTTCCGTCCACACATTAGCCAACATCACTGGAGGGATCGATTCAACGACTGTGATTATCCGTTGCCGCAGGGTTTCAAGATCTGGTACACGTGTTCGGTAGACCTTGTCCTTGACATAACCCCATAAAAAGAAGTCTAATGGGGTTATGTCAGGAGAGCGTGGAGGCCAAACCGTTGGCCCATCACAACCAAATCCATCGCCCAGGAAAGGTCATATCGAGATAGGCACGGACGTCCAAACCCCAAAGAGGCGGTGCACCATCTTGCTGAAACAAGACATCGGGGTGATACTGAAGCAGCTGAGGAACAGCATACATTTGCAACATGTCCAGATACACTGCAGATGTGATGGTAGCCTCAGCGAAGAAGAATGGCCTGATAATTCGATCGTGCAATAATGCGCACCAAACATTCACCTTTGAACTGCCTTTGGTGCACTCCATGACCTCACCAGGGGTTGTGAACCCCAAATGTGCACATTATGGCGATTCACTACTCCACTGACAAAAAGGTCGCTTCCTCGGAAAAGGCAATTTGTCTGAGATAACCATCGTCGTCCTCAATATGTGATAGCATTTCGCAGAAAAGACTGCCTCACAGCTTTCACCCTGTCTGCTGAGGTTCTTGGTCGACCAGACCTCGGAAGGTCAGCAACCGATCCTCTGTTCTCTTCTCATACCAGGCTTTAATGCTCTTGATATCAGGTGGATTCCTTCCAAATGTTGTCTGGAAGTGTCTCTGCACTGTGGTTGATGATCGTGTCTCATAGTACCACAGGACACACTGTGCCTTCTCCTGATTGGTTAACATGGCTTCTTGGGCACTGCACCTCATCCACTACTTACGTACTGCAAACCTAAAACTGAAAAAAAACTTTGATAGTTTGTAAACAATTCGACACAAGTTTCAGATTTGTTTCTTACTTCTATCCTGAGTTATCAATTTATGTAATCAGGGAAAGACTTTTCGGACACCCTGTACATCTGATCAGCAAGTTGTGGCACTAGAAAATGGTTCAACACGTGAGCATAACGTTATGTATTCACAGTAATGGCATTCCCGCAATCGTCTTAAAAAAAGTAAGGCATGATGATTCACTTTCTGATTGTGAAGTGGCTTTTCATGAAGCATTTCAGGATTTTTATATGACCAGTATCTAAATTTTTGCTTTTTAACAAAAAGCCCGACAGATAAACATTTGCCTCATTGCTAATGATCAGATTGTCGCACAGGCCTGGGTTGTCCTTCACGAGTTCCAGCAATTCCCAGCAAAAAGCATAGTCTCTTTGGAAGGTCGTCTGCATACAGTTTTTGCACTATCTGCATTTTATATGGGTGGTATTCCAGTTCCTTTTGCAATATTTGCCATACACTGTGATCCAATATGCCAAGTTACAGGGCATGCTTGCATGGAGAACATCTGGGACTTTCACTGAAGGCTTCCACTCTTGCAACATTCTCTGGTGTGCACACTTATTTTGCACTTTCACCCTATCACCCGTTTCCTCAAAGTTCTGTACCAACAATTTGATTACATGTGCCAATGGGACTGGGACATGAGGTGTGTGATTGTAAGGAGCACAAAATACACGCTGCTAAGCCACGCAGCTAAGCCACGCAGCTGTCGCTGTTTTTTGTCAAATGCCTTCACAGCAAAAGCACATTGTTCACCGGTCTACAATGCCATCGGGGTCAATGGCAAAGGTTTGTAGTCTAAATAAAACCACTCCCGTTTTCTGATTCCTAGCGTAACTTGCTATCTGAAGGGTTTCAAAATTGCCAGTTTCACTACCACACCCTGTATATATATATATAAATTTAAAAAAAAAAAAAAAGCAGGCTCAAATGTCAAGAGAAATATTCAGAGTATTGGGTTATCAGTATAAAATATTCTAGGATATCAAATTGAAACACACACTAAAAAAAGTTTTGAAACTAGGTAAAAGAGCAAATGTAAGTTGGCATGGATTTTGAATGACAATTCTTTTTTGCTTTTGTAAAAGAGAGATCTATATCTGATCACAGATATATTTAAAAAATGTGAAAACCAAAGCAACATTCTTAACCTGCTATTTAAGGAAATAAAATGATTTATTAAAACTTAAAATGCATATACAGAAAAGACTCTGTATGATGCTAGCCAAAATTCCAGATTATAAATGGTTCCTAAAATTAATCCCATATTTTCCATACATATATGCATTCCCAGTGATTACTGAGGAAAGATTTGAACAAGCATATAGGATTGATAATAATATAAAGTTGAAATAAATTCATGGATATGGACATAAAATACTTTTCCTGTTTTAAAGATGTATATTTTCTGCTTTGATTTTGTTTACAGTTTCATTTTTCAGATCAAATTTTATCTTTGCATTACATAATATTTACATGCTCTTTTTTTATTTCCATTTAGGACTCGGAAATAAAGAAAGATGATTGGGGGATTGTTCATTTACAACCATAAAGGAGAAGTGCTTGTTTCCAGAGTATTTAGGGATGACATAGGGAGAAATGCTGTTGATGCATTTCGTGTCAATGTAATACATGCCAGGCAACAAGTGCGAAGTCCTGTGACTAATATTGCACGTACAAGTTTTTTCCACATAAAAAGGAGCAATATTTGGTTGGCTGCTGTAACAAAGCAGAATGTTAATGCAGCTATGGTATTTGAATTTTTGTTAAAAATGGTAGAGGTAATGCAGTCTTATTTTGGGAAAATAAGTGAAGAAAATGTGAAAAATAATTTTGTTTTAATTTATGAGCTTCTTGATGAAATACTTGATTTTGGATATCCCCAGAATACCGATACTGGGATACTGAAAACTTTTATCACACAACAAGGAGTAAAATCTCAAACTAAAGAAGAGCAAACTCAGATAACAACCCAAGTAACTGGGCAGATAGGATGGCGGCGAGAAGGTATCAAATATCGCAGAAATGAGCTCTTTCTTGATGTGCTGGAATATGTTAATCTTCTAATGTCACCTCAAGGGCAAGTTTTGAGTGCTCATGTTGCTGGCAGGGTTGTCATGAAATCATACCTTTCTGGAATGCCGGAATGCAAATTTGGTATTAATGATAAAATTACCATGGAAAGTAAAGGGAAGAGCAGCACACTTGATGATCCAAGTCGCAGTTCAGGAAAAACATCAATTGCCATTGATGATTGCCAATTCCACCAGTGTGTGAAGTTGAGTAAATTTGAAAGTGAGCACAGTATCAGCTTCATACCTCCTGATGGTGAATTTGAGTTGATGAGGTATAGAATAACAAAAGATATTAGTTTTCCATTTCGAATTATTCCACTTGTAAGAGAAGTTGGTCGTACTAAGATGGAAGTAAAAGTCGTTTTGAAATCCAATTTTAAATCTTCCCTCATAGGACAAAAAATTGAAGTCCGCATTCCAACTCCACTTAACACCAGTGGTGTTCAGCTCATTTGTATGAAAGGAAAAGCTAAATATAAAGCTAGTGAGAATGCTATAGTTTGGAAAATTAAACGGATGGCTGGCATGAAAGAAACCCAGTTAAGTGCAGAGATTGAACTTTTGCAGACCGATACCAAAAAGAAATGGAATCGGCCTCCAATCTCCATGAATTTTGAAGTACCTTTTGCTCCTTCAGGTCTCAAAGTACGTTACCTGAAAGTATTTGAGCCAAAACTGAATTATAGTGACCATGATGTCATAAAATGGGTACGGTATATCGGAAGAAGTGGCTTGTATGAAACAAGATGTTGATGTCTGAGTTCCATGAATTACATGTTTCTTGAATGTGAAGTAGCTTGTGTATGTTATGAAAAGATATATGGTACAGAAATGTTGATTCAGTTACATTCTCTACAGCAGAGTATTGTTCTATATGGGTGTAATGTATCTTTTGTTATTGCTAAAGATTTTTCTCAGCCTGTTAAATGTAAGCACACAAAATATTTAGTGTTAGCTTCACTATTGTTATAGCAATAAAAACATGGATAATATATGTGAATCTTCTGCAATTTATTTTTACATTCCTAAATTATTTGCTTCCTGTATAAAATAAAAATTTATTACTCTTAAATTCATTAATTTGAAAAAAAATTCAAATGTGAAATTTTGATTATGCTCTTAAGACGTTTATTTGTGGAGGTACACATCTATTAAATATACAGACTTAATGTAAGTTAGAAACACTCCAGAGATGTTTACTGTTTGTATATTTCAGAAATAAGTTCTGAACATTTTTCACAGTTCTTTTATTTAACTTTTTTTTCTTATGGTGGTAAGAACTGCTGCTAATGCACACATACAAAGAATTATTTTTTTAGAAAAAATGATGAAATATTCTTCATTCCAGTCTTATCCACTTTTAACAACTGCTTCTGTGCTGTTGACAGCTTGCTTTTCTAAAAAAGATTTATGAAGTTGTGAGTATTTATAATGTTACAGGAAGCAAATTCATTTCTCTATCATCTACAGGGTTCATAGCCACATTTTAGTTAAAAAAATAAGCACTTTTCAAGCACATTGTAAGAAAAAAAATAAGCACCTGTCTAATTACATTATACACAACTGCATAACTTCAAAAATTAGACTCGTAATTTAAAATATGAGAAATGCAGTATTTATTAAGAGAGAATAAGCATTACTTCAATCATGGACAATAATTACTTTTTTTTTTTTTTAATTTTAAATAACAGTTCAATTTACAGAACTAGTTTACAATGAGAGAAAAAAAAAACTATGCAGAACTAAACTATATTACAAGATTTAATGATGAAACTTCAGTTCAAAATAGAGTAAATAAATAATAATAAGGCAGATTTATTCTATTTGCTTGGAACTTAATAATAAATACAATTTATTTTTCTACTCATATTGATATTTAAATCTAAATTCTGAACATTTTCTAAATTTTCATCGTATATCAGTTTTCCCTTAACAGATATTGCAAGCAAAGTAATTTAAGTAAAAAAGAGGAACATTTCTGAAATCAGAAGACAGAAATTTGCTTCATGCAGTTCATCCTTTAATAGTAAAAGCTTAACTACCCGCATACTTGAAAATTGGCGAATATTCGGATAGTCGAGCGTAACTTGAAAAAGGGGGGGGGATAGACTGTAGCCGTTCTTTAGATTTTTCCGATAAATAAATGCTTTTGACATTTTGATATGTGCATCATATAAAGACAAACCAAAGGAACAGAAAAATATTCTGCTTAGCAAGCACAGTCAAACTCTTAAGTGTTCATAAACAAATCTCGGACCGAACATCGAAATGAATTATCTCTGCAAAATATCGCAAACGTTATTGCGCAATACGTGCGCCGTAATTCTTCCCTACATGATATTATGCAATCGGATTCAACAGCTGCCGGTATTGGGAGAATAAAGGAAAAGAAAGAGACTTACCAATCTGGGGTGTTATTCATTCTAATTTTCGACAGACTGCGTTAAATTTCCGGAATAGAATCATTCTTCGCTTGGATTGGTAGACCGCAGAACTTTTAGTCCTATTCAATCCAGATTGGAAAGTAACAAAAAAAAGTCCGTTGCTTGTTTTGCAGCAAACTGTAACAGTTTCAATATTCGAGATTTTACAGAGAAATGGGAGAGCCTCTCAACCTTCGTATCGGATAATGGATTGGCCAAAAAAAAAAAATGAAATTATTTTGACTACTCGATTACTTTCTCTTTATTTAAGCCATTTTTGAATATTATTAATTAGAAAGCTAATCTGTTAAAACACAACCATTTTTGGAAGTTTACTATACTTCAGCAGTTACTGCAACTATGTTGTTATGAACATTCATACATATACTCATAATATAAGCATAACGAAACACGAATGTGAACTGACCAAGCCGAACGAGAATGCAAATTATTAAGATCTTGATAGAAATTCAAACGTGTGTAGTATTTGGGTGGGAGGAAAAGAACGCCAAATGTACCGGAATTTTCTAATGCTTTCGCAATTCTTTGACCAACAGGACGACAGCCACCTGTCTGTACTCTCCGCACACACCAAAGGTTTTGTTAATGCAGAGAAAGGGGGAAAAGCTATTTCCGGGAGTATGGTTCACCATCTGACATTCCATATTAGGAAGAAAACTTGTTTATTTAGTTTCGGCTTTGCTACGGAGGAAAATTGCGCATTCATTTAAAAAAAAGCACTAAAAACAAAAAATTAGGGCTTTAAAGAAAAAGTAAGCACCTATAAGGGCCTTTATATTTTATTTTCAAATATAAGGACCGCTACGAACCCTGATCTATTATATTTTATAATAAATTTCATATATATTTTAAACATAACTGATTAATAGAAAAAATATGTAAACACAAGGTATTTATTTATACAGTGCAGTGATATTTTATTTCATAAATTTAAAAATACTTGGGCATACTAAAAAAGTATATATTTAATACCTTTTAATGAAAGCAAAAATACAAAGGCTTTTTTTAAATCAAAAATGAATTAACTTCAACTAAATATCTATGATAATACTGACACTAAGTACTTGGCATGGTGTAGACTCAGATTTCCAAGTCAACTTTTCCAGCCATGTTTTACAAAATGGACTGGATAAACATAGTTTTCAGTCGCTGTGTATTCTAGAAGCATTAACTTCAGCAAATTTCCCCTCATTCTATTTGATGGAAAGATGCCATTTATTAAAATTATAATTAAAGGTTAATAGACACAGTAGACCTTTACAGACAATGGATTTTTTTAAGTATGTTATCTCAAATGCTTTGGTGCTCATAGCATTCTCACTAAATATTTTTAACATTTTGTATGTTGCTGTGGTTGATTTCTCCTGTTCAGAATAAATTCACTGTTGCTTTTGAAGAGTAGCATGGCAGCTCTTCTTACTGTTGATATACCTGTGTCCAGTAAGACAGTTTTTGGAGGGAAAAGTCAGTCGGATAATTAAATGAACAGCTTGTATACAACAAACAGAAGATTTGAGAAAGACTTACTTTCTTATCCTGCAAGATGCTGCTATCTAACTTTTTACTGCAATTCTCGACAGGGTTTAGATGCTCATCCTAAAGTAGTTGGAAAGAATATTGCTTTTATAAAATATGCAAGAAGTATGCCTTTTAACTTCTGAAAATTAATGTTTTTCAAGTATAAAAAATTTGTAAAGATCAGTGTTGCTTTCAGAAATATGGTTAATGATACAAATAAAGATATCAATAATGAAAATTTATGAACATTAAATGTTCTATTAAAACATGACTTTATATATTTTAATATTTAAATGTAAAAACTGATACAAGCCTTGGAACTATGAAAGTTGCATATTTTTGTCATTCTTAAAATTAAGGATTTTTTTGTTTTCATGAGAATCTTTATACATATAACTTCTTTCTAGAGAAAAAAAAAAAGTTTAATTAAAAAACTCTTTTAATTATTTCTAAGGCAAATAATAAGCTGATGCAGAAAGATATTAAATTGTATGAAGAAACATGGAGATTTTGAGCCTAAATTTTGATTATTTTCATTCATGTATTATAAAGCATGTTGATTTCTAATATTTTTGTTGGTTTAGAAATTTTCAATACATTTTTAAAAAATTTAATACAGAACAAAAATTATCACAAGCCATCAAAAAATTTAGTTTTTATGGAAAATGCATAGTATAATATTTAAACTATTTATACTCCTAATACTACGTAATTTAACTGCACATAATTTGCAATAAACACTGTTAAATCATGAATGCAGCTAATCTCTTCCCCACTAACTATTTAAATGTAAGAACAATAAATCCTGTTTTAAAGTATGTTCTCACTTTGAATGCTGATTTACTTTTACATAATCAAACTACTTAAAAACACAAGTAAATTGTTAATTATGTGAGTAATATAAACTTTCTTATATTTTATAAAATGGCTGTCGGATTAAGCACAATTTTTAATTAACAATGGTTATCATCTCAAATATTGCCTCAGCTAATTGTAGTTCTGTTGTTATTGTCATGAAAACCTTGTCAAACTATTTTTTAAAATATACCATAAAACATTTAATTTCAGAATTACTTTGGATATTTTATCGTAATTGACATCTGAAAGGCTTATGTCATCTTATCCTATAACATGCATAAGCTCTTTATAAACAAACACGTTAATTTTGTTGAAATTATACTAGAATGGTTTGGTGCAAGCTAGTGCTACATTGAATTTTCTTGGTAAGATCAGAAATATCAAGATCTTTTATTCATTATGTTGTAGGTTGATGGCTTCATTATTTGGAAAATAATTTTCCTCAAGTTTCAGACTAACAATATCGCAGTATGAGGAATAGGATAGACTCTTCAGTCTGTGATACTCGCAGGAATAAGCAGAAAAAGTTAATCCTCCCTTATATCATACAATAGTAAGCAATGAGAAATATATGTCTTTAACATTTATTAATCTGTTTCCATTCGTAAAAACATCCCTTGAAATATTATGAGATTGTTTCTAATTTAGCACAAGATTTTGTGTACCTTATTCAGTTTACTTTAGCCATATTTTTAAGGAATTTGTTTGCAGTTGAGTTAAGCAATTGATTGTTAGTAAATTCGTGTTACACTTAGCATTTGATAAGTGATTGGGCTAGTTGCAATGAATGTTAAAGTGTTAGTTAAAGACAAGAAAGCTTTCACATATGAATTCCTTCGTAATTGCATTTTCATAAGTTAACTAATGTTCTTTCTATACATTTTAAGAATAAATTCCTAGATCATTAATGGAAAATATGCAAAATAAGATGAGAGATGAACAGTGTCGCTGACTGAACAGGATTTAATTAATGGCAAAGCATATTAGGATTGAGGACAGTTTTCTTTTGTAAATGATTTTACTGGTGAAACTGCCCTGCATTTACATTACAAATGAAAGGAATCTGCTCAACTAAGGGCAAAAACCTTAGAGGAGTGCATGGCTTCAGGTTGATATCTCCATAAATAAATAAAGCATACTCAAAGTAAAATGTATCTAATTGTCTTGTGAGAACATCTTAACTGCCACCCAATGCAGGTCAAACTGACTTGCTTAAGAAAACTAATATTTGCCACCAAGGCAAAAAATAAAAATTCTATAATTTCATTTTACTTTTGTAATAAGCATTTCATTCTTTAATAATCAACATTTATGTATCATTACCCTTTTTATTTTTACTTTTTCTTGTATAGAATTTATCAAAATGGGTTTCCTCCAAATGCCATTTCCTGGCATCTACTAACAGATACACCATTAAAAGCATCTTCTTTGATATCATAATAATGTTAGAGTTTCATTCCAAATTATTTTTAGTTGCATGTACCATTTGCAGAGAGTTTTAGGTTTTAGTTGCTAAATTAGTCAACTAATAATCCACTTTTTCAGTCTCTACAACCAGAAATAAAAGTAGAAATACTGCTAAAAACAGGATGTATAAAATGCTATCAACTTATGAAAACTGGCATTACAAATATTTTTTAAATAAAAAAATAGAGAAAACTGAATTAAGAGTTGGCAAAAAACACATGCTGTATGACTTTTGAATATTTTATAACATGTATATAAACATGAAAATTTATATTAGAAGCTGAAAATTCACTAGTCTACATCTTTTCTGTTATAATTTTTTGTCACTCTGATTTATTAAGTATGCAGCATTCTTTATAAAAATGCAGCTATTAAAACAAACTAGATTGAAGCTTTTCAAAATAATTTTATTGCTAACAATGGTTATTGCTTAAGAGGAAGTTTAATTGTTAAATAAAAATAACCGATTTATATTGTATAAAAAAAGATTTTCTCTCTCTATTCTCTATAAAATCAGTGAAAGTGCTTTTAACATAACATCACAATTTTCAAGTGGCATGACCCCCCTAAGCTAAACTATATTTTTGCATAAATTTGTGAAAATAAGTTACAGGTAAGGTCATTTTATTCCAATAATGTAAAAGCTTTTTTAAGTTTTGTTATTCATATGTAGGAGATAGGAAAGACTATTACTATCTCCCAAGAAAACCTCCTTAATTTACTTCATAACCATTCTAGTTTAGTATAAAAAACACTTTCTTGCAGATGAAAAAGTTGAAATGACAGAAAAATTATTAAATAATTTTTGGATAATTTTTAATATGTATGATGGTTATGAAGCTATAGCATATATTAAAAAGCATAAATAAGCCTATATATTTTTCATCACATTTCCGAGTAATTTTCATAATGCAAAGAAGTATTTTGAGAACCCCACAGTTCTTTGTGTGAAACATAATTTAGTTTCATGGTAATACTTTAAAGAAACAATAATTTTTATTTATATATTTAATAATTAATTAGCTATGTGGTCCATAGCGTCATTTTATGCTAATGTAAAAATTTATAATAATTTATCTGCATTTTGTTCATATAATCATGATGTTAGATGGTGCTCTTATCATGGTAACTTGCATTTAATGCTTATACTTTGTGTGACCTTTCACTCCATTTGATATTTCATATGCAGCCCACAAAAGTTAATGCTTTTCAGCTTTAATTTCATAAACAATATTTTGCAAGATATGAATTGATAGTTCTTAGGGGAATATATGCAAGTCATCATCAATTAAAACACCATATCAACTACAGCATTCTACATTAAATGGTTTACAACAGCGGTCAGCAAACCATGTCTCTTTAGCTCCTTGAGTGTGGCTCTTTCACAAAACTGCACATATGGGCACGTGCACATAAAAGCAAGCAATTCTTGAAAATATAACACAGAGGTCCTCAAATTTTACACAAGCATGAAAACATATTCACCAACGTTATTCCTAGGTAATGTTTTTTTGTACTGGTTTCGGGATTTTGATTGTATTGTCGTAGTAATTGTTTTATGCCAAATTTTAACTAATGAAATGTTTTAAATTAATATATTTATTCAATGGCTATTTTAATTCGAATGAGAAATCAAATAACGTAAATATGAAATTTCGTTTCAAAATATCAGGATATCTACCTTCTAGACCTTTTAAATTTAAAGTTTTATCCAGTGTCTGAAACAAAAATTTCCCTGACAACTGAATTTAGGCAACATAAAATACGTAGACAATGTTTGGATTGCGTGTAACATGAAAAAAATTAATATTGGAAATGTCTAAACCGAGATGTTTTGTCAGAAATTTAAACTTTACATTATTTGGTGTATCAAGTTAAAATTGCCATTGTACTGGTTCTAGTAAGATTTTCACTGATGTATTGATAAATGGGCTTTTGTACTGATTTCAGTACAATTGTATCGACAAAAATAACACTGATATCTGTGTTTAATTATGTCCCTTCCTTGATGCAACACACGTTTTATGGCCAAGGTTTCCCCACCTATGAAGTGCACACAATTCATCCACAAGTTGAGTGAGTGATAAAATGAAAAAAAAGTGCTGAGCCTGGTCAGTCAGGAGGCTTGTTGTGAAGTGGTTAATGCAAAGAAGTTTCCTTTGTTTCATTTAAAACCACTTAAAAGGGGTATGAATTCATGAGTGTAAAAGCACATTTCCTGTTTGTGTCCTGGAATGTCATTATTTTCTTGCCTAACTGCTGTTGGCTAGCACTCAATCATTTCTCTGTTTTTGGCCCTATTCACTCCTTCTCATAACACATCATGGTTACAAAGTAGAAGCAAAGAAACACAGAAGATGAAATCCACCATGAATTTCAAGTTGAAAGGACCAAGACTTTCGCATTTATTTGAAACGCAAATGCCCTTCCAACCTGTCTTATTTGTCAGAAAAAACTGGTTAATAACAAGAAATTAAATGTGGAGAGACACTTCACAACTAAACACATGTCATTTAGTACTAAATATCTTGTCAGTGAAGCAAGGAAGAAAGCATTTGAAGAACTTTAAAAGGGTCACAAAAAATTAAGTTATGCATTTAATTACTGGATGCAATCTTCCAAAAGTGTTAATATTGCAAGTTTTGTGATTAGTCAAGAGAATGTTAAAAAAAGGAAACCATATACAGACAGCGAATACTTAACAAAATTGTTTTATAAATGCATCCAAAGAGCTATTTTGAGATTTTAGGAAGAAAGCGGTTTAAAAAATTTTTTTAAAGCGTTACCATTGTCTGCTAAAAAAAGTGAAAGATAGAACAGTCAAAATGTCTTTGAATATAACCAGTTATTTGGTTTCAGTAGAATCCTATAAGATGCCATATACATAATTGAAAGCTTGAAATATGAAAAACCAGGGCATTCTCATTTTCTGAAACTAGGAGGTTTTCACACTGTGTGGTGGCAGCATTTCAAAGAAGTCCAAATTGACTTAAATTTGCTTTGTAATATGCATTATGAAGTTATTAAACTATTTATACGATTCTGATGTAAAATATATTAATATTTAATTAGATATTCTAATTTTTATGCTCTTTGGCTAATTTTATTTCGTAACTTTATTACTACAGAAATTCTAAACATTTGTTATCCTATCATTATGAGATTTCAATTTGTGAAGATTGTGTTGCTTAAAGACAATGCTCAGTTTGTTTCACACAAAATTTAACCATAAAACAACCTCGAATACTTAATATGTTCATTTTTGAATTCTTTAACGTTTATCAGTAACAATAGGTACACTTTTTAAGATCTGATTGTCCTATCACTTTTCATCCGAGTACTAATGTCTAACTGAACCCAAATAAGAGGATATCCTGTATTGCTGCCAAATCATATTTTGATACAAATGAGAAGTTTGAGGAATAGTAATACTTTTTTATCATATCCAAACTCCTTTTCTGATGTAGATTTGGCAAGAAAGAGGGGGGGGGCTCCTGTGAGAGAGAGAGAACAGTTCTATTAATATTAGTAATATATAAACTTTTTCTTATATATCTCTTTTGTTTATATACATTTCTTCATTATTATTTTTTTATAATGTGCTGAGGATTCTTAAACCATCTATATTTCTGAGTGGATTTATAATATTTATTTCATACTTTGTGATTTATACTTATAGAACAAAATAACCTAATGTTATTGCACTCATTTTATGGAATGTAGCTTTATTCTCTGCTATGCATATTCACTGGGTATTACATAGTTTGTTTAATTTATCACACAAAAAAACCAAAAGTAATGAAAATAAATAAATAAAAGTAAATCCATCCAAGTAGAGTACATATTAGATTATCAGCATAACTGCCTTAGAACACAATTGGAACACACACACAAAAAATTGCAGCCAGCTTCCTCCCTTTCCTTTCTATGCCAAGTTGCCAGATACATCAAGTTAAAAAGTACAAAAATATTTTATTGGCCACCTCACTTCATTTCAGCATTAACATGGCTTATTACTCAAATTATCTAATATTTGTGATCATTAAATTGAAATTTTGACAGTATCACTAAAGTAACTGAAGACCACGAGATTCAGTGCTACCACAAGATTTTAAGTAAGATGAAAACTATTGAATGCACAAGAATTCGTAATTTAAATAACACTAATCTTTTCTCAAGCAGAAATAATGAAATTAGTCATTTAAAGACTTGACATAGAGGTAAAAGGTTCTTTACATATTGGGTCATTAAAAAAAATTCAGCGTTTTTTCAAATCAAAGCATATTTTCCTCTAATTATTTTGTTACTGCTGATATGGAATGATGTTTATCAAAGCAGATGTTTAAGTGTAGTCTTTTATGCTTGCATTACATAATTATAGTTAACAGCATAACTTTTGTTTTAGTGCAGTGTTAAGAATGGAGAAACCCAAAATTATTTTTTGTCATATTATCCTTTTTTATTTTAAAAAAGGGGAAAATGCAAGTTACATTGCTCAGAAAATATGGACAAAAGTATTGTTTTTCATGATACAGTTTGAAGGTGGCAAAGAAATTTAAGCATAGAAATTGCAGCCTTAAAAGGGATGCTGCTTTGCAAACAAGAACTTATAGAAAGAAGTTATCCCTGGAAATCTATGCTATACAAATTCAGGAACTGTCAGACAGACTAATACTCCAAAAAGTAAGTACATGATCATTTGAAGAAGATTGGACATGTAAGTTGGTATGCTACAGAAGTAACCCATACTTAACAGAGCAGTTTATGCTTTCCTTCTTAGGCATGCACTTCTTTGTTAAAAATAAAGAAGCTCCTTTTTAAAATAGCTCATTACTGAAGATGAGAAGTATATACTATACAATAATGTTACAAGAAAAAGATAATGGGTAAGTCAAAAGAACTTCCTTTAGAAACACAGATAAGGGGCTGCACCTCAAAAAGTATAACTCTTTGCATATGGTGGGACTACTAAGAAATTGTATACTGTGAACACTGCCTCCAAACCAGATAATAAATTGAGAAAAATATTAATCCCAAATGGCAGTTCTAAAAGCAGAAATCAAAGCTAAGCACACATAACTGATTAATTGTTGAGGTGATGTCTTTTACCATGACAATGCTTGTTCTCACATTTCAATGAATGTCAAACAAACACTGAGCGTATATGGGATATTTTGGGTCAACCTCATATTTACTAGACCTTTTCCCTCAGATTATCCTCACCTCGGAACACTTCAGAATTCTCTGAATTACCTAAGTTCAGTTTCTTTGTCAAACAGCACCTCAATAACTTTTTTACAAATAAATTAATGACATTTTAAAAAAGGAATTTTCCTGCTGGAGTAATAGCAAAAAATCATAACAAAAAAAAAAGGGGGTGCTTATGTGAAGATTCAATGAAACTTTTTATGTTTTTGTACACCTTCATTTGTATTTATCATAAAAAACTGGAAATTTCTGCATGATGCACTATTTAAAAAAATATCTGTTTGTAATAGTTTAAAAAATTAACAATATAAAAGAGTAATTCATCAGCAAGACTATTAAAAAGAAATGAAAAAAAAATACTTTTGATTTATTCTGTATAACTTGATTTTTCTGCTGACACTTCTTTTGTACTTGTTCGAACCTAGATTGAAAGAATTATTAATGTCTATATAATAAAAAATATGTAATGTGAAAACATTTTTATAATGCATATTATCGGGAGTATAAATAAGTCTCCACTGTTTATTATTAAAAATTGGGCATTTATTGTAAAAAAAAAATGGTATGTTATGTTTTATTCAAAAATATTGTCCATCTCTAGCCACTATTTTTTCCCATCTTTCTGGCAGCATATGGATACTGCATCGAAAGAACGCATCATCTTTCGAGGCTATCCTCAGAACAACCCAATTTTGGGTATCTTCATATGATGTGAAATGTTGCCCAGACAGGCCATGCATCATCAATCAAAACAAGTAGTCATCAGAAGAAGCAATGTCTGGTGAATACAGCAAGAGGGAGAAAACTTCTCATTTGAGTGTTTCCAACAAGTTTTGATCAGCATCACAACATGTGGATGAGCGTTATCATGCAAGAGAATAATTCTGTTATGTATGGAGTAGTAGTGGGTGAACTTTTCTTTGAGTGCTAGGCTCAGTCTCATCAACTGTCTTCAGTAGACAGTCCCAGTAATAGTTTCATTTGGTTTGAGCAGTTCATAATATATGACATCAAATTGATAGCATGATTTTTTTTAAATGAATTTACATGAAGCTTGGTTGTCAAAATTGAAGCATGGCCAGGTGGTCCCCATGATTTCTTCTTATTTGGGTTATTGTAGTGGGTCCACTTTTCATCACCAGTGACCATGCGATGCAAAAAAAAAAACTTTTCAAGTTATTTTTAATTTACTTTATGCCTGGCAAACAGCATTTCATATGTTAAAAACTGACGTTCAACATTTCTCAGCTTCAGTTCATATGGAACCGAATTTCCTTGCTTTTGAATCATTCCTGATGATTTTAAACAATGTGAAATTGCTTTTGAGTCACTTTTAATGTAAATGCAAGTTCTGCTTGCATTTGGCTTAAATATTCATCCAATTATGCTTCCCATTGCGCGTCTTTGTAAACTTTTATCCTTCTGCTATGTTCTTTGTCTTCAACGTCAAATTCACCCTTCTTAAACTTTTTAAAACACTCAAGACAATTAATTTCTCTCATTTAAGGCAGCCCCACTATATGCTTTTATAAGCAATCGATACACCTCAGTCGCACATTTCTTCGAATGAAAGAAGTAAATCAAGTTTCCACAAATGATGCTCATTTGGCTCAAAACTCAACATTTTCGCATGAAAAGATATATGGTGCTGATATAAAATCGCTAATATTTCAAGGTTATGTTGTTAGCAGATGTCCAACCTTATAATACGACATTTTACATCAGACAATTTTAACAAATAACTTACTGGTGGTGCCATTTTTTTGTCAAATGGCAGAGACTTGTTTGTACTCCCAATATTTTTACATTTTAATAGCATAACTGTATCAAAACAGGTTTATAATAAAATAAGCATAAAACATTACATTCTTCATATGGAGTGACATAATGAAAACTGTGGTAGATGAAATATAGAACTACATAATATCTGCATTATACAAAATACAATTGCGTATGAACCTTTTAAAGAATTAAAATATCTAAAGTTAGACATTTCCCTTAATATACCATTACTCTCCAGGACAGAATCTATACATCAAAAACACTGTACACAATACTGCCCAATTAAATACAATTTTATCAGCAAGGTTGTTTTAGGAGGTGAGAAGTCGTCAATAAAATATCCATCCTATTCATGTAATACAGTGCGTCCGTAAAGTCATCCAGTACTATATATTTAAAGTACTATATTTCAGCCATCTAGTTAAATAATTCTCATAACAAAATGCTTCATAACAGATTCTATGAAAACTGTGTCATACTGAAATTCAGCAGCTTGTTACATTAATTATATAAAAAAACAAAATTTTGAAAAGGAAAATGTTTTAAATTACATTACCATGTAATTAATTACAATTGTAATTTTAATTTCCACTCTATTTTATAATAAATATAATATTTTTTTAAAATAATTTCAAATATATTTCTTTAAAATTCTGCATGAATTGTGTTAGGTAATTTTTTCATGTCACAGTAGCGAGGTGATAGGTTAAATACATACATATTATTATTTTATATTCTGATTATTTAATCTGGAATGAAAGTTTTATTGACAATGTGAAATAAATTTGTTGAAATGGACAAATTCAAAATAAATATATTAACTACTTTTTATGCAAAATTTGTGTTATGTGGCATTTATTGTGCTATTTGTATAAAAATATTTTCAATGATAATTTTTTTTTATAATGAAGCAACATTAAAAGAAGTGATGCTAATTAAAACAAGTACTGTCAGCAGCTGGATTCAAGCTGGGGACTTCTTGCATACATCGCCATATAGTATTCAGTACATTCTTGCCGTCGATATAAGGATTTAACCTTTTCTGAATGGGTGTCCCATATATGCATTCCCTACAAATGTCTCTCACAGCTGAGTATGCCACCTATACATTGCTGTAAAGTGAGCTTAGGAGGCGGGTGATGCATAGGTGCCTTTTAAACTGAACCATTTTTTAAAGATCACTAGATGGCATCCTGTGTCTATTACTTTTGAACTAAATATAGTTTTAGTATCATAACCTTCAGTCTAATCATACTTTGCCTGACTTTGATGTAAGCTGTTGCAAGGGAGGAGGCAAAACGTAATGTAAGCAAACAAAGTTCAGCTCTTTAACACACCATATGATATTTGCGTTTCTGATATCCTTCAGATTCCTTTTTATATTCTTTTCGCTACTGTGGAGAGTCTTTTAGGATTATATGCGGGATTCTGTCATGCTTTACGCTACTTTCGGATGCATTTCACGTATTTCCTTTTTTATTTTGGAAAGTACCAACTGCAATTTATATTGCAAGAAAGTGTTATTTATCAGAGAAAGTAATGATGGATGAGAATAATGATTCATTTTCTAAAGAGTTATAATGTGATATTTTTAGTGATTCTGGTATATGAATGAAATATGTATTTTGTCAGTTTACCGTGTGCCTGCCTTCCCATGAAAGATTTTATTACTTCTTTTTGTAAACAGCCTTTCTTGTACTTTTTTATTAATTTCAAAGTTTATTAATGTATTTTGTCAACTGAAACTTCGGAATAATTTGAATGACACTTTTGATAATTAATCCTCAAAGTAAACTTTTTTAAATATTTTCCATTTAAAGTAAAGATATTTAAATGCTAATTTTAATATATAAATGGCAGCTAAAGTAATAATATGAAATAGTACCCAAAAATTACGATGTTAGGACTTTATTCGTGTGTGTGTGTGTTTTTCCAAAGTTAGGCTTAGCAATACAAAACCTCCATGCTATGGGATGATACCTTCCGACTCCCCTCTGACCCAAAGGAATGTCTTAAACAAAGGCACATCATCTCAAAAGGGTTAAATAATATGAATGCTATTAGGAAATTTATTTTTTCAAGGAAAAAAAGGGGACAGGTGTGTCTTGTTCTTTCAAATATGTATTAATTTTAAAGCCCTCTGTAGAATTATGGTAAAATCTAGAAGCTCAAAACTGTACTTCCATTGCAAGTTTACCTTAGACCTTTGAATATATTAAACTAGATATTCTGGCAATAATCTTAACTTATTTTTTAACTACTCTGTATATTTAAATCCTTCTAATACCATTTAAGAGTTAGAAATTTTCCATATGTAATACCTTTAGTTATTTTCATGGCTTTTATGCAATTATTTTAAGAGTCTGTCATTTTATACATTTTTATATCATGATTTCACTATTCAATGTAACATGAAAAAAAGAGTGGCAGTACTTTTTTAATTATCAATAATTCAGCTAACTCTGTTTTCAGTTATTTTCACTTCTCAGAAAAAAAATTAAAATGTAAAATTTTATATTTTAAAAAATTTATTTTAATAAGATCCATCATTAAAGATGGTTTATAGCTCAGAACCTGAAGTTTTCTCATTAAATAAGTTTGCAGATTAAAATGAAGCAATACCACAAGCATATATATGAACATAAAAAAATATCAGTTATTAAAAAAATTTAAAGAAAGGCTTAATTATGTTTGAGGATAATCATAAGATGTTCATTGTAAACAGAAGAGAATGTGTTAATGAACAGTTTTTCAGTTCATGCTAGGATAAATGTAAAAATAATTTAAAACTTATTGTTAGGCTTTTCATAAACAATTATATCTTAAATTTAAGCTATATGATATATGGCATTAGAAATACTTTTATTCATTACAATATAATTAAATAAACAGAAATATCTTAGTGATTAGATATTTAAAAATTCCTTGAACTATATATATATGAAATTGTATTATATGCAAGTTATTTTAAAAGTACATACATTGCTTTTAAATCATTTAGTTAAGCAGCATAATGTTTTAAACTGAAAAACTTTATGGAACATTGAATAACATTCTGAAAACTGGCAATCTGCCAAACATGGATGAAAAACGAAAGACTTTCATCCATGTTTGACAAGGAAGGAAAAACAGAAATTATTGGGAACTACCAATGCAATGGTGATATCTGCCTGATTACATGAATAGTAAATGTCCTGGTTGCACAATGTAATGTAAGAACCCCTCCCACAAAGAAAAATTAAGTTGTTGATGTCTCTAATATAAAATATGTTGGCATTAAAGAAAACACAGATAAAAGAAAATATATGCTGATAAAATTATATTATAGTTTTGGAAGTATTTTCTTCACTCCTCCAGCCTTCTATGATGTTGAAGTATATCAGTTGGGCCAGATGGTATCAAAGCTGAGCTATTAAATATTAATGAAATGAAACTTAACTAAAGCAATCTATTATGTTATTCATGATATACAGACATAGGAACAAATGCCTACCGAGTTGGAAGAAGGGTCTGTTTGTCCTATTTATAAAAAAGGAGACAAGTTAGAATGTTTTAATTAAGAGGAATTACTCTATTAAATACAGCATATAAAATCTTCTCCAACATCTTTTATAAAAGATTGCAGAGATATACTTCTAA